GCCTTCCAATCCTTCTACTTAGTCTTTCATTTTTGCTTTCATGTTGTTACTTCCTCAAAGCTTGTTAGGCTGTCATTTGCCAAATGTTGCTTCTTTATAGTACCCCATTCTTGACATTCACAGAAGAAAAATCTTTGTTGTCTGAAAAGGTTAACCATAGGCATAGTCTCTGCTTCCTCCAGGTTCAAAAACTTTTTTCATTGAGTTATAGTTCACATACCACAAAATGCACCCTTTTAAAGTGTTTGCACAGTATTACCACCAAATCACAGGTGAAGAACCAAAACTCAGGAAGTTTCAGGTACATGCCCATGGCTATACCCTAGCTATGTGGAGGTGAGATTTATGCCCTGACATCTAAAACACTGTGGATGCCCCACTTCTAACGCAGAGGAAAACCCAGTAGTCATTGTCCATTATACATGGCAAGGCCCCGCCCCAAGGATGCCACAAAGTCAGGTCCACCCTTGGGGACCAGGTGGAAGAAGGAGAGGGACCCATGTGCAGCACCACCCCCCAAAAAGAGGTAATAGGGTGGGCCAGCACTCCACCAGTGGGTTAAGGAGGGGTCTGCTCCACTCACAGTGGCCATAATCAAGAGCCATGGCTACTGAACCTTGGGGACACTGCTCTGGAAGATTCTGTGACTTGTGTTGTATCCGATTCTCAGCCCCTCTCAGCTGAAATGCCTTCTCTGGAACAATTCACAGCAAAATTGTTTCCAGAGATAATTTGTGGAGGTTGCAGGCTGTACCTTCAATAGCCTTTATGAATCCAGGAATCATGGAAGGTTCGCTCCAAAAGAGAACTTCAACACCTTCTAGATCCACGTCCCCGTGTTTTTCTTGGAGAAACTCCAAGAGGCCAAGTGTAGACCCAAGGCTTACAGCTGGTGAGGGTGGATTTGGCCCCGCTTGTGGGACAGGAGGAAGGTGTGGGGCAAGGTGGCTCGGACACCTGAAAGGGGTGCCAGGGACGGGCACGTGAATGCCAGCACTGGGGGCTGACGGACAACCTGCAAAGAGACTCAGCTCCCCGCCAACCTCTACATGTAGGCCGGCTGGGAAGAGGCAGTGGGGACAGCCATCAGGGGCTGCAGAGCCTGCAGGGGACTGTGCTGTGGGCTGTGCCCCACCCCCAGATGAACATGTTCAAGTCCTCACCCCCAGTGCCCCAGACTCTGACCTTACTGGGATTTTTTTTTTTTTCAGTTACAATTAGTTAAATCAAGAAGGGTCATGCTGGGTTAGAGTGGGCCCTTCATCCAGGGTGCCTGGTGTCCTCCCAGGAAAGGAAAGGAGTCCGGGAGTCAGAGACGCAGGGAGGAGGCCAGGGGCAGACGGAGGCAGAAGCTCGGGGGATGCAGCCGCAAGCCAAGGGACACCAAGGGCTGTGGAAACCACTGCAGCTGGGAGAGGCAAGGAAGGGTCTTGTCCTACAGGCATCAGAGTGAGCACAGCCCTTCTGACGCTCTGAGTTCAGGCCTCTGGCTTCAGAACTTGTTCGAGCCCCTCAGTCTGTAGCAGTTTGTATCGGCAGCCCCAGGACACACATACAAGACCCCCATCATGGGGGCAAGCCTTGGATTCAGCTTGCTGCTCTGCTCCCACCATCTCTCCCCATCTCCCTGTCCTTACCTTGATTCATTTTTAAAAAGTGCCTGCTTTCAGGCCCGGTCGGTGGTGAGTGTTAGCCTGTTCTCTCCGTCAGCACTCAAGTCCCCAACTTGCTCGAGCCCTTCTTCCCCAAGGACTCCCTGCCATCCACCTGTTCTCTGCAGCTCAGGAGGCTGCGGGACTGGGGGCGGAGGTGGGGGGCGGGGGGAGGCCTTGCTGCGCCCAACACCCCTGCTGCCACACAGAAGGACTGTGGGAGGCATCTAGAAGATGCCGTCCCGGGGGACGCACGGCTGCACACCCCAGTGTGGGCTGGTGTCCCTGACGTCCGGCCCAAGGCAAGTGAGATGGGGCCCCCCAACTCAAACCGAAACCGAAAGACCGTGCCACGAGTGGGAGGGAGAAGATCAGAAGTGAGAACACACAGTGCCACGGGTCTAATGAGAAGCGGAAAGGGAAATTTAGTTTCACTTAAGTTCTAAAGTTTCTGCTGATTCAAATAATGACAGCTATATAAAAGCTTACAAAGTCAGAACCATGGTACCTCTGCCTCTACCTTCACCCCCCCAAACTTCCCTCCGTACAGACTCCCCAGAAGCAACTATTTTGAACATGTGCTGAATGCACTCGGCCAAACACGCTCCAAGGCCACATAAACATGCTCTAACATCGTTTCGTTTCATTTCGTTTCATGTCATCTTAAAAACAGCATGTTCGACGGCGTGATCTCTCACTCACTGGCGCATCATCGTCGTCTTTCCACATCAGCAAATGGGGTTTATCTCAGCAAGTAACTGGAATGGACTTCGCGTCACTCTGTAGGGCACATGAGTGATTTTAAATTTTCAATGCACCCTGAGGAAATCTACCATGCGTGCCTGCGGGTGTAGTTTACAGCACCTTAATTCGGCACACCACAAAGGCTGGAGAACAGCCTTTTTAAAGAGATCAAGAAGGTGGGACGCTGGGGTGGCTCAGTCGGTGGGGCGACTGCCTTCGTCCCTGGTCGTGATCCCAGGGTCCTGGGATTGAGTCTCGCGTCGGGCTCCCTGCTCCGCGGGGAGCCTGCCTCTCCCTCTGCCTTCTGATTCCCCTGCTTGTACTCTCTCTCAGACAAATAAATAAAAAAATCTAAAAAAAAAAAAAGAGAGAGAGAGAGAGATCAAGAAGGCAAGTGGGAAAATCAAGCAGCTAGTTGCAAAGATAAACTTTGTCACGGTAAATGTGTGCGGTTTCTTTTCCATGGCTGGGAGAAAGTGATCGCTCATGAAGCCCCACAAAGGGCCAATAGTTATGAGTGATTAGAAATTCTGTCACTGTAGAAAGGAGTTGAGAGGCTAGTGGAAATTATACAGTTTTATGGTGGGTCAAGTAGAAAACAGACCCAATGTATACACTGCAATAATGGTCAATGTGCAACTTAATCCCTAAATCTTACAAATTTTGGAGGTAAATCGCAAAGAAAAAAAAGGGCAAAAAATGTGATTAAGAAAATAAGAGACTGTCTTCTTGAAGAGGTTAACAATCCTGAGATTCCGCAATTCCTTGAATGCCTCAAAAGAACAAAATTTGTTCAAGATATTTTAGACATTCGGAAGGGCGGAATCAATTCTCCGCACCCTGATAAATCATGTTATAGCAGACGTTCTGGACGAGGGCAGTTTTGCCCCCACCCCCAGGGGACATTTGGCAATGTCTGGCAACTTCACTGATTGTCCTAAGTGGGAGCAGGGGGTGCTACTAGCATTCTCGGGCCGAAGCAAGGGTGCTGCTAGGCATCCTACAGTGCACAGGACAGCCCCTCACCACGAGAGCCGCGAGAGACCATCCCACCCTTGATGTCAGCACCGTCAAGGCTCAGGAACACGGTGCCGTATCCTTCTTGAAGGGATGGCTTTTTGTTTTACAAAGCACACGAATCCCTATTTAATCAACTTGAAAAATACATCAGAAACACAGAGACACAGCATTTTGTGAAACTAAGCCAACTGAATGTGAACGGAGTGTAAATATTTAAACTCCATTACCCTACTCCCTCCCAAATAAGCAGGAGTGAAAATTTTGCACAAGACTGACTCCACCTGTAAAACTATGAAGTAAGGATAAACAGCAGTACCCAAAACATGGCACCGAATTTCTAGACGGGCAAGATATGACTTCAGACCCTGGTGGGTAGGGCTGCTTCTCGCATAACTAATCCAGATGCCAGGAGGTACCTCACAATGAACCCTACTCACTGTTTGAAAACGACACTCGGAGCCTGCAGAACAAAGTTAAAAATTGTTTCCATCATAAAGGGGAAGAATAGAAACTTACCCCCTAATATGGTTAGTTGCCTACGAGACCCGCACACACACTTACTCTTGATTTTTGTGAATAAAATCCAGCTTAAGCCGAGGAAAAGATCATGGCCAGAAAAGTCTTTCCTTTTTTCCACGGGGTACCAGCCAGTACGTATTAGCCCCTAGTGCCTGCTTGAGTTAAGCCTGTCACCTTCCCACACGGCCGCACCCAGGCACCGGCTGTGAATTTTGAACTCCTGAGGTCAGCTTGGGCTGGTAGAGGTTGGCGATCTCATTGCCTCATACCTGCTTTGAAAGTTACCATTGTCTTCGTAAGTGGGAAGCTATTTAAGCCCACCAGTAAGTGACAAAAAAAACCCAAACAATATGGGGAACATCTCCAACGGCAGCATCGTGTACATAAACTGTTGATTTAAAAGGCAGCTAGTAATAGGCTGTGAGCGAGCCGGGACTTTTATCAATAGGTTCATGGTGGCCTTAGAAATATCCATGAGTAACCACAGCACCACAGATGACGAAGGATTAGTCCCATGAAGCCTCTGCCCGAATGAGGCTGCCACCTGCCATTGTGAAGTTCACGGCCGGCCAAAAGGTCTCAGAGGCTGACTCCAGCCCCAGCCTGGCTTGCCTTGCTTGGCCCTGGCAGGGGGCTTTACCAGCGGCAGGATCGACTTGCAGCAGCCTGCACAGGAAGGCTTTGGAGGGAAATGAAAAGCCCTAGCCATTCCTGGAGGTATAATCAGGGGTTCTCTCCAAAGAAGCTTTGCTCTGCTCTCTCTGTTTTCATTAGAAATGAGAAAACTGCTGATCCATATTTATTTTTGCGCTATCATAAACTAAATAATCAGCTCCTATTAATGACCCTAATTACTCAGCTCCTATTTTTAAATGCTGGTCTTTCAGCATGCTCTACACGGGTGGTTTTAATTAAGGCTAATTGCAGATACGTCACATCCAAATATACACCCTACACCAGTGATTAACAGGGCTTGGAATTTAGTTCATTAAATAGGGGTTTGCAGGGGGATGATGGTGTGTCTCAAACTTTAGCGTATCATATGAATTACCTTTCTGATAGCTATGAGGGTGGAGAGGGTTGTTTATTAAAGGAGAGTCATGTAGGGTACACTCCAGCACATCCTCAGAAGTTCAATTCTCAGAGCAGTTGCCAAGTTCAGGGAAGGTTGGTTTCCTCGAAGCTCTAGGTAGGAACGTATTGATCTTGATTTTCTTTTGGATTTGGATGCCCAGATGTCTTCTTCCCAAAAAAGTACCTCCTAACACGGCAATATGATGTTATCATTAAAGAAGCACTAATTCTAAGTTAAAAAAAAAAAAAATCACATTCTGTTCCCAGTCCAATCGCTTTCCTTCAGCCCGTCCCTAGAAATCAGCTTTTTAAAACGCTAACAACACACTCTCACGTACTTTATTCACATATATCTTGCCTGATTCTCCAATACCTCCAGAAGCCTGGCATTGTTATTTTTTACATGTTGGAGGTGAGGAAACTCAGAAAGGTGACCTGGCCAGCACGAGATGTCCTAGGGCTCGCCTAAAGGGTCACCTGCCTGAACACTCATCTGCAAGGGTCCGGCTTCTCGTGGAGATCTGGTCCAAACCGTGACCTCACACAGCATTAATCCCTGTGGGCGGGGCAACCAACCCAGCAGCCAATCAGGGGCCCCTAACCAACGCCCCGTGACTCAGCTCCCCTTCCCCCCTGCCTCCTCCACCTGCATGTTCCCAGTCCCCGATGTACACTCAACACACACAGAGATTTGACGTTTTGCCCGAGTCTTTAACCGAACACAGTAAGAGCAGGTAAAAACCGTCCTCCGTATGGGGCTGCAGAGTGCCTGATCCATTGGTTAACAACGAAGAAGCTGCCAAATATTGTTAGCAGGTTCATCCGGAGACAGCTATAGCAGCCAGGTGCTTGCGGTGCCTTAAGATGTCAGCTCGTTCAAACCTGATAGCAAAACACCTATGACCTCTGGAGACAGTCGCTGCGCTGCCAAGAAGGGTTGTATCATCTGGGGGACGTCCTTCCTTGTGGAAATGTGTTTGTGTGGCTTTTAAGTACACACCAAGGTGCTCGGTGGAAGCACATAGAATTCAAATCATGTCCCATTTCAGGTGTGGCCAAAACCAGGCCCCACACACTGGCCTTACCTTTCAACTGAATGGAGGCTGGTTCCTTCTAGTCATGGTAAGAGGTTTGGTGGTTTGGAACATCAAGGGCTGGTTCCTGTCCATGGGTGGATTTGACCTTTAGCTATCTGGCCACTCAGGACACTTGCCTGGGAGGAAGTGTGTAGAGAGGTGAAGGCCACAGGCTTTGAAATCAGGCACAGGTGGCTGGGGCTCAGCTCCATCTTCCCCCCCGTTTTGTGACTTTAGGCACTGTTACCTCAACTCTCTGATTTCTGCCTCTATAAAACTGGTGTACATCTTTAACTATATATCTGTCACATTTAAATTACTGGGTCATTTGTGAGGTGCAATGAATTAATGGAGATGAAGTGCCTTGCTCATAATGAACACCTATACATGTCCAAAGAGGGTCTTTTTTTTTATCAGAATATTCCTCCTGAACTTAGAATTATGACAATATTGCAGACCAAAGCCAAAGTAACCATAATTCTTAAATATTCTCTAATGAACTGACCATTTAGAGAAGTAGCTGACACTCAACCCCTTCCAGGGTCCACATAGTCTCTTGGGTCAGTGTCTGCCCTGGTCTTTTTTACAAGTATTGAAACCATCTGAGAACACTGTGCAAAGACAATGCGAACCGAGGACAAAGAGAAGCTTCAAACCTTGCCTAGGATATAAGGTTTCATGAAGTGAAACAGCGTGACTGAGTAGCTCCTGGAATTGTTCAATGTGCCGTGGAGGCTGGTGTAGCAAGGATAACCTAAAACTTATAGTAAAAAGCCACCATGCTTATTTTCATCATTTTAAGTTTCATTTTCAAGATGATGGTCCAATTGCCGCATCTTCCCCTCTCGTTCTACAAAATCGTGTTCCCCATCTTACTTAGGTTCACTTTCCTTTATTCAGTAGAATTTATCCTCCAAGAAAAGAGGTCCCTCTGTGTATAGACTTACGTATGTCATTTCCCAGAATGGCTTCACACATTATATCCATCCATATGAACTCTCTTTGGGCACAAATAAAAGACAAAAGTGTGGAATCGGATAAAACATCTTGTGTGCCACCGATGTATGGGATGGACATGGGGGAAGCAAAGACAAGTCAAGAAGAAGAAGCAAACAGAGAAAAATAGATCAGGGTTCTGTTAGAGACGCTGCTTCTCTGAAAGTCAGCGTAGACCTCCTGGGGCCCCTGAAAGCAGGAAGTCCTCCCACCTGAAGCCAGCAGAGCCCTGCAGTGAATGGAGCAGAGCCCTTCTGGGCTTGGGACCAGAGTCTGCTGTGTGCAAGAAACCTCATTGTCTGAGCATGACTTTCAAGTGCAGGTGGAATGTAGCCTCACCCTGGGTCTCTCCTGCAATTCTCCACCAGGGTGTGATTCCTTAGCATCGCTGTGCCCTGTAACACCCTCTCTTCCCCCTTTTTCCCACCAACTTCCCATTGGCCCAAGCCCTGTGTTCCATGCCAAGGAGGTGGTTTGATAGACACCACTGGGGGTACAGCTTCCAGACTTGACACTCTTCTCTGTGAGTGAATAATCCCATTACTGTCTTCTAAGCAAGTTGGCTTCCCCAGATGTATGGTCTTCCAATCCTCATAGTGTGAAAATGATTCATTAGTCCATCCATCACAATAGAAACTTGAGTCGCGTGTAATGAAAAGCTTAGAGAATGTATTTTGTGTACACAGAAATAAAAGGTTTGCAAGTTTCTAGTACTTAACTTCACTGGGAAAGGAGCAGGGCAGAAATGAATTCCACATTTTCCCAAGTGAATTGTATTAAAAACCCACATCATGCAACATCTGTGTGAGTCTCCAAAGACTCGGTGTAAATGATTGTTGATATAAATAGATGTGCATTTAAGCAAAGACAGATGTTCCAAACCAGAATGTTGGGAAGACACGTGAAACAGTTAAGTTCAAAGACTTCTTGGCTTTTATTTCTTCCCCAATAGGTGAATCCTTGCTGGGCTAGGACAGCAAGGCGTGGAAGAGAGAACATTTTGTTTCCCAACAGAAAGGCATGTTGTGCCATGGGAAGCAGGTGTGTGAACAGCACACCCTCGAGAAGAGCGTCCACTTGCCTGTGTTGTGATACGTTCTCTTACTCATACATTCTCGTGGTGTTCATTGATTTATTTGAAGAACATTCCAGAAGACTCCTGTACTCAGACGGCCTCAGAATATTATTTCAGGGAGGACTAAGTGGGAGGCGTTGGAAAATTAGTCACTGGAATTTGGGGGTGGGCCAGGCTGACATCAATGGGAGAAGAAGCTGGGAGCCGGCAGTATTTTGCAGCAAGAACAGACCCTGGGACCAAGGTCTTCAGCGGGTCCGTCGAAAACACTGCTTGGTCAGTGGGAACAGGCCTGCCTCTCATTTTCTCGGTACAAGGACCCGAGATCGGAAAGATAAACGAATCTGCATGTCAGTGGGGCAAACACCATCAGTAAGATTACCAGGAAAACCAGAGCCAGGCAGAAAGGTCATTTATAAATAGAGCAATTCACATTTTTTGCATGTCAGGCTCTGTGCTAAGAAGCATTTTCACATACATTCCCTCACTCAATGTGAGGGATGAAGTAAAGAATTTAAAATTCTGAAGGAATTAGTGACTGAAGGCAAGTGCGTATTTCGATCACACTACCCTTTATATGGTAAAAAAAATTCTCCTGGACCCTGCCAGAGAAGGTCCTCCTTCCTTCCAGGGGGACATAGCAGAGACATTTGCCTTTGGATTGAACTTCTCTGAAAGGAAGCCGTAGCTGCTTTGGAAGGCGTGGAAGCCTGATTCGGAGGCACCAGTGTTGGGAAATGAAGCCGGTTGGAACACCAAGCCAGGGGTCGTCTTTGGTGATCCCCTTGCTGTCCCAGCCAGGGCCCCCCAGGCTCCACGACAGGCACAGGGAGGAGAGCTGGTGCCCCGGCTATGAGGAAGCAGCCTCCCTGCTGACCACAGGCAAGAGAGGCCACACATGCTGGCTAAGGTTTAAGGTAGAAAAGCCCTGCGTTTGTTTCATCTTTCATGAAGTCAAATGATCTGGAAATTGGGTCTTTCTCAGACTACCACAAAAGAAAGTCAAAACGAAGCCCCAATCACGGATCACTTTAGGATGCATGTTACCTTCCTCCTAAACCCAAACATTATTATGGATGAGAAATTTCTGCTCGATTGTGCACACAGGCTGGGCAAGTTGTCAGGAGTTGCAAAAGCAGTACCTGACTCTGTCCATATAATAACATCATTAGTCAGTAATCTGGAGGTTTGGTCTCTAAGACGCCAGACATCTGTGAGTATGAGGATAAAGTGTATTAATCAAACATTCAGATGAGGCTGCAGGTGATACTCCATATGTGTGGACATACTACAGGAGAGATGGTCAAGACAAGATGTCCATGGTCCCTTGTCCTCTAGCTGGGTACACAGGAGGATGCATTTTCCAGCCTCTCTGGCAGTTAGACTGACCATCTCACAGGATGCTGGCCAATGGAAAAATGGGCAGAAGGAATGCGAGCTACTAGGAGCCCTGGCCAAAACACTCTCGGCATGAACTTGGATGCACTCTCCTCTTTGTCATGACCCTGGAGGTCACGTGTGAAAATAGTGGCTTCACTAGATGTGAGGAGCCTGGATGTCTGAGTTATGCCACTCAGAGGAGAGCCCATATGAGCAGTGCAGCCTCCATCAGACTGTGGATGAGGGAAAACAGATCTTTATTCTGTTGAGAAACCAAGATTTGGAGAATGTTACAGCAGCTAGGGTTTTACACTGACTCCTGCATCTTGTTTCTGGGAAGTATAGCTAGATACTGCCAAGCAAGGTGCTTTTGAGTAACTTATTTTCCTGATTGGCTGTGCAGTTCAAAACTGGTCCTGAAAGACCACTGCTGGGAAAAGAAAGAAGCAGGGAATGAAAGGAGTACCATCATGCTCACTCGGGACCTGATTCGCACTAGCTTCCCAGAGCAGAAGGAAACCAAAAGGGCTGTTGAGTTCATTCCCTGATTTTAAACTTGGTTTCCCCCAGATGATCCTGGAGGGACGGTCTGTTCTCTGTTCCTAAGGGCAGCCAAACAGAGATCGGTAGCCCACCTTAGCATCCAGGGCTTTGTTGAACGCTGATCCAAGCCCATTGGCATGCCGCATCTCATTCCCACTCATTCCATGCAACGGGGGAGCAGACTGTTGCTCTCGGTTTCCACACTGTATGTGTTTGTTGGTTTGGCTACTGACATTATATGAATTCCTCATCACTCTTCTCTGGGAAAAATGATGCATTGCTCTCAAATTTATTTAACCCAACGAACAATGGCTGAGGCTCAGTCTCTGCCCTCAAAGAGATAAGACAAAGACATAAAAAATAGCTAACGGGATCCCGTCCATGTTATAATGGATGTGGGGGTCTGAGGAAGAGGAAGGGGTGGGCTACCAGCTTCAA